ATTGTTTCATTTACTCCTTACAGGCTCTTACCTACATAGGACTATTTCCATTTTAAGATGGAGAAACAAGGTTTATGGAGGTTGAGAGATTCTTCAAGGTCATTCAACTTGGAAGTGACAAAGCAAGGATTTGAACAGGGCTGTCGGGAGTCCAGAGCCTTTGTTCTTAACTAGCATGGTAGGAGAACAAGGTGGTACTAAGAGTTTGTGGCTTTGCTAGTCAAGTCGTCTAGCTTGCTCTGTTTAGCTTCCTGAAGCTCCTTGGGGTTCGGAAACCATTGGATAGACCTCTTCCGTGCCATCTGGGTGGCCTGAGAGATTAATGGTTGACAATACAGCAACCCATAAGATGAATATACATTTTTGGAAACCTTATTTTTAACCCTGAGGGAAAGAAGTGTCAAGGCTTTTGAAGAAAGACTTTAGCAGCCAAGTAAACACTAAATCAACCCAGGGACAATGTTCTTTAAACACATTGGCTGAGGCTAAGGGGCAAATAGTTTACACTGATTCTGGGTAGCTGGCCACAAATGTGATGTGTCAGAAAGGCTTTTTTTTTTTTTTTTTTTTTTTTTTTTTTCTCAAGTGTTCTGTATCTTTTTTGGTATAAGCTGCCCCTGTGCTTTAGCAGTCTGTAAATATTTGTGCGATTAACGTATGCTGGCAAATGTCTCAAGAGGAAAGCAGGCTTCATAGTGCTCAGCAGAATTGCAATTAGCCATGCAAAAGAAAAAGAATTTGTCTCTTTCATCTCAGTGCTTAAAAACCTGTCAGCATCCAATACAGCTGGAAGCTTCAGAAAAGATAATTTGCAAAAGCTGATTTTCCTAAGCTTTTAAGAGTTAGCCCCTTACCCTGGTATGAAAAAAACATTCACTTGAAAATTGGTTTTTTTCCCTTCCCTACTTAACACTTATTAGAATACTGTATTATAATAATGTAATCATAATGAAAGGTGTTGTAGAGGGAAGTTCCTTTAAACATGTTAGTAATGTTGTCAAAGGGAGTGTTTTGCATTGTGGTACCCATGAAGTACCAGAGGAGGGAAAACATGGGTGGCCTATCTTCTTTAGAAATGATTGCCTAAGTGATTGGAGAGGAAGAAGAAAGAAGTGTGCCTGCTGAAAGCAGCTGGAGAAGCAGTGCACCTGGACCCATCCACTGCAAGCCGTCTGCCATCTGCTCCTTCCTGACATGTCATGGGCTTCCTCTAAAAGTTGCCATGGCCTTGAGGCTCCTGTACAGCCTCTGAAGTTCCTGGGCAAGCGGTCTGTACTCCCAAGCACATGCGTGCCTTGGATCCTTTGCTCTTCAATCTTGGGGTAAGATGGCTAGCCAGGTGGTACGGACTGAATGTTTGTGTCTCCCTAAAATTCATATGTTGAAGTCCTGGCCCCCAATATGGTGACATGGGAAGGTGGGTCCTTTGGGAGGTGATTAGATTGTGAGGGTAGGCTCCTCATGAATGGATTAGTGCCCTCATAAGAGACCCCTGAAAGCTCCTTATCCCTCCTGTCATGTGAGGATACAGCAGAAAGGTGAAATCTATGATCCAGGAAGTGGACTCTCACCAGACACGGAATCTGCCAGCACCTTGATCTTAGACTTCCCAGCCAGCCTCCAGAACTGTGAGAAACATATGTTTGTTGGTTAAGCCGCCCACTCCACGGTGATGTTACAGCAGCCTGAGCTAAGACACCGGCTCTTGTGAACAGCCAATACGTTGCTGGCCCTTTGGTGATCTCTTTCCAGCTGTTTCATTTAGGCCTTGCTGATCTGCAAGGGAGACTTTTGAGATCAGTATAAAACCCCTACATAAGAATATCCAGGTAGGTTTGTTAAATGAGCAGGTTCCTGGTCTCCATTCCAGGAATACAGAATTACAATGGGGGGTCGATGGGGGTGCAGGAATCTGCTTCATACACAGATCCCCTAGGATTCTCAGGCATCCAGAGCTTGAGAACCTCTAAAGTGAAAAAGTCACATTAAAAAAAAAAAATTCCCCTTCTGTACTGCCTCCTCTCACCCTTTCTGGGGTGGCTAAAATCAAAGAGGATTTGATATTTCCTCCAGGAACCCCTCTCGGAATCCTCAAGCAGTGGGACACCCCCTTATCTGCATTCCAGAGTAATGTGAGCACAACTCCTTTACAGCCACCGTTTTACTGGCGTGATTTGTTAACCTCCTCTGGGGAAAGCATCATTTCCTGGTCATCTTTTTTAGCCCCACCCCTAATCCAACACCCAGCATTCAGTAGGGCTTTAGTATTTCAATCTGCGTATCTTTGCAGAACTCTTAAGGGTCACATGCCTTCAGAAAGTAGTGATATCTAGGCTGCTGTTAATTTGTCTCCCTGCCTCATGACACAGATGAATTGCTGCTTTAACCCAGTGACCACCTCCTTCTCACTTGGCCAGATGTTTGCTGGAAAAGGGCCTACAAGCAGGAGTGTGCTCCTACGGAGTCCAAAGGCAATCTCCGGTGACCAGAGTAGCTGGTGACAAGATTTCAGGTGATAGGCTGCGAGACTGGACAAAATAATTTGTCGCCTAGGCTCTGTGCCCTTCCGGAAGACATCATCTTCTTTCTCACAGAAAAGCCTTTCTTTCCTCGAGGCTTTAAATCATGCGAATACACTGAACTCCAGCACTCTGAGACCTATTTTGGGCAATTCATAAACACAATAGGCTTAGATGGTTTATGGAAATTTGCTCAGAGAAAACGCTCAGGGCAGAGCCTAAAGCGGACTGCGAGTGTTATTAATAGCTAACACTTAAAACAGGCTGATGGCACCTTGAGAAAAACTAAAGAGAAACCCTGATTTGAGCCCATTGTCCCAGCAAGGACAGCACACACGTGCACTGTCTTCCTCATGAGCCAAGAGGGTGCTTTTTGCCTGTTCCTCCTGCAAGGGGCAGCTTGCATTCTAAATAACAATGACAACTAGGAATGTGTAATCACCAGGTTTGAGTGCTTATCAGAACTTTGGTTTGTAAAAGGATCAGAAAAGTTTAAGAATGGAGGTGTGACTGAGCACATAACCAACTTGGAACAGGATTTCGGATCTTGATAAGCATAGTGTCTGCCCAATGAAGTATTCAAGGATGAAGGCTCTTTCTTAACAGCCATTTACACCGCGCGTCTAAAGGACATGAAGGAATGTTCATTATTTGTGACCTTAATACCTATGATCGCTCAGAGAATTTTGTAAAAAGCCCCAAACCCTGACATTTGGGATCTTTAAGCGAGCTTACAAGGTAAGTAACTAGAGTGCTATAATTTTTACTTCCAATCACAATGCACTTAGGCACATTTATTTCCATGAGAGGCTCCTTAAATAGGACGGTCTATTTTCCAAAGAACACACAGCTGGTGAATTCTGAGAAAGATAGGATGAATGCTTGTTGATTCTTGATTCATGATCTACACTTAAATTTCGTACATTTGGTATACTTTAGATGGCAGGAAACCAGAGACAAATCTAATAAACTGGCCCTAAAGTTAATGTTCTTATTGATATAGAAAATACTTCTACTCCATCTTTGTTGCCAAATTAATAAATGGTAGCCCACTGCAACCAGCTTTCTAAGCTAACTAACCTTTTACATGAAGATTCTGAGCTTCCTAAGTGATGATTTACTTACTGTTCTATTGGTGTTCCAGCGTCAAAAGAAACATGAATTATATTATGTGTTGAGGTCAAGTCAGTGAGGTCAATTCGTATCCTGTTTTCCCATTTTTCCACTGCCATAAAAAACTTTAGAAGGAAAGCAAACTGAGCAGGTTAGGAATTAAGCAACCACATTTTAATCAATAAATATGAACATCTGTGTGTTAACCAGTTATTAGGCAGAATAAAATAGTAACTTATCAAGAATTCAAAAAGTAACCTTGTAAACAAAGTGCGAGAATCTTTGCCATAAACGTTGCCCACATAATAGAATTAGAGGTAACAAGAAATTTACTCAGAACGAGGCTTGGAATAATCTAACAAGTTCCAGGTATATGTTAAAGCTAAAAAAAGATTATTTTGCACAGAGTGGGCAATACGTAGATTATCTGACAACGCAATGAATAAATGACTGAATGGAGGAATCGCTGAACATCAGGTAATATAATGACTTCTATTCACATTATGGGCCATTCTGATATCCATTTCTTGTTCCTGCCCTGCCTCACTAGGCTTTGCTGTGCTCTGTACTGCATGAAATCACATTTCCAAGGGCCCTTGACAGCTGGCTTCCAGGTAATGCTGGTAGGGTAGGGTGCCAGGGGGAGACTCAGGGCAGGAGAGATGAAGCTGGGGTATTTTTCCACATCTGACTCGGCTGGTATTGCCCCATCTCAGGCAGGGGCTTTGTCTGTGCCATGGCTCCAACCCCCACTATCCCTGGGTGATCCCAGCTCTCACCAGGCAGCTCCCACCATGCCCATGTGGCCAGTTCCTGTGGGCTACCCCAGCTTCTGGATTAAGGGAACCACACCTTTTCATAGCCCTCGGTGGTACCAGATTCCTTTTATTTGGCTTCTTTTTGATTATCTTTGTAAGTCAATCTCCTCTATTAAAACCCCTCTATTGAAACACCTAGTATGGCTTCTGTTTTCTGTCTGATACGTATTAGATTCGTTGATTTTTTTCTCTCTCCTTTAACTTCTCTGGGAATTTTTGCGTGAGAATCTGCCTTAAGCCAATGAAAAATCACTCAAATCACACTCAATACCCACTTTCTGCAATACAGGAGAACACACACAGCTTTTTCTCAAGCACTGGAACGCTCTTTGCCAGGTGCAAATAGGACTCTGTCTGCCGTGTCACCACTGATCATGGTGGGCACAGCCGAGAGTCATCTGCAGAGGTCGTTTTTGTTGTATGTACTAAATGAGACAACAAGGAGAAAAGTACAAACAGAAAATTAGTCTTAAGAAGAAATTACGAAGTCATCAAATGGATAACATTGTAAAAAAAAAAAAAAAAAAAAAAAAAAAAAAAAAAAAAAAAAAAGACTCATGAACAAATGATCCGTAGCTTTTCGGCTAGAATGCATCCCTGGGATGGTTATTTTCAGAAGTAGAGTTCCTTGGTGAGCATAGAGACCACACATGGGATCTGCTTCTTCTCGTGGAAGTAGGGGTCATCAGACTGGGACTCAAAGTGCCTGGCCACCCTGTTGTTCACCCTGGTGAGGATATGCAGGATCTCCAGGCTCTTGCCATGCTCGTTCAGGATGGAGCACAGGGCCTGCACAAACCAGGACCCGCTGCCCGGGTTCCTCCATGAGTAATAGCCTTCAACAAGACAGAAAGGAGATGATCAGATCGGCTGGCCTGGCCGCACCACCAAGAATGAGCTCTTGGTGTACGGGGCCTCCACACCTGCTTTTCTGAAATTATCTTACTCTTCTCTGCGTGCAAGTCCCCGGTGAGAATTATGCTCGTGTGCTCAGAGAGCACACATCATAGGTTTAGAAGGCTGTGTAAAGATACTCAACGCAAGGCCTGGTGTTCCTGCGTGGATGCATATCAAATACCCAAGTGCTCAAAGGAAATGCGGAGAAGCACTTTGTTAACTCTGGAACTCCTCGCTGTCCTCTGGGGGCAGAGCTACTTTCCAATCCAAGCCTCACAAGAGAGGAATTTGCAGGAGATTTCAGAGAATTTTGAGATGTGTTCCTGCTGTTGGAGGGACCCAGAACCGGAGCCAAGCTCCTCATGGAGAAATCTGAAAGTAAGAGGTGGCTGAATGACCAACTGCCTTATGGGTAGAGCCCAGAGAGCCTGCAGCTCTGGGAAGGCCACCATCAGAAGGGCAAGGGGTGTGCTTCTCATGGACCAAATATGGTCTGTGGCTGAGAGAGTCTGGCTCTCAGTCTTCCCTGGGTCCTGTCCAACACAATTTTTTGGAGGGACAAGGAGACCTCAGCAGGAAGAGGCTGGACAAGTGCCCTGGAGGATGCCCAGAAGAGGAGGAAGTAATCACAACGCACAGCGAGGAATGGAGACACGAATCCAAAGCCAAGGAGGTGTAGGGTCCAGGAAACCCAGCACTTTAGGAAAGTGCCCAAGGAGAAAGCACCCAGCCTTTAGCATTTCATGGGTTCAGAGCGCAAGAAGCCAGGTGACTATGGGACCCGGAGTTTACCTTAACTCACCTCCCTCCCATCTTTGGCTCTGGGAGGACCTAAAAAGGATCTGGCAAATGGGGGAGGAGGTGAGTAAGGGGAAGGATCAAGGCCCCCTTAGCACCTTAGACCTATAGCGGGGCTGATCTGGGATCAGGAGAAATGGAAAGCCAAATTAGGTTCAGGGTTTTAATTGTTATTTCGGTCTGGACGTTCTGGTTACAGTGCTGTGACTGTCTGTGACTTGAGAAGTGACAATACTGTCTAATATCTTAACATGAGCTGTAAAGCCGTGGACCTGCTGATGCCTCCATACAGGGGCAAGGGAATCTTCCCCTCACTTACCCCCATTCCCTCCAGTTTAAAAGGACAGCATGCAACAAAATAAAGTCGCCCTTGGCTTCCATGATGAGCTGTGATTTGTGCCCCTAGTCCTAAGCGGTCTCACCAGTTGAATGAGACCATTATAATTTATGGCAATCGCTTATTGAATAAATGTACAATAAGCAGAAATAACCTTTTTCTGTGACATGATCGAGGCACTTAGAATTCTTCCCGCGGCGCACTGGTAACCACCGGTGCAAGGATTTAAGCCCAATGGGCTTAAATTCACTTTCAGAGGGGCTCACAGAACGCATCTCGTTCAATACAATGAACTAGTGAGGCTGGTCATGGACAGTCACCTCCATTTCAGTACTGCCCCTGCACTCATGTCCTTTAACCCCTGACCTACATGGTCTTCCAGGGAGCCAGTCTCACCCTGTGACTCTCCTACCTGAAATAGTTCCATTGCACTTCATTATCAGGGTGAAGTTCAGGCCGCTTAGGATAGCACACAGGACTCCCCACGGTGGGGCCCCCCTGTTTACCTATCCAGGTTTAATCCGTGCTGTGCCTTGTCACATCCTGTGCTATAGACGGTGTCCCCCAAAACTCAAATGTTGAACCCAGCCCCTAATGGGACTAGATGTGGAGATAGGGCCTTTCTGAAGGTAATTAATGTTAAGTGAGGCCATGAGGGTGGAGCCCCAATCCCAAAGAATTAGTGTCCTGATCAGAAGAGACCCTCTCCCTCCACCATCTCTCTGCCATGTGGGTGGGGACAGAGCTAGAAGTAGACGGTTACCAGCCAAGAAGCAGGCCCTCACTAGAAACCAAAATGGCGGGCACCTGGGTCTTGGATTTCCTAGCCTCAAGAAAGGCGAGAGATATATTTCTGCCTTGAGTCTGTGGCATTTTGTTGCAGCAGCCCACAGGCTAACACACCCTGTGGTCCAGCCTTTTGAGTTTTGCCTCTGACCCCTTGGCACTCAGTCTGGCAAGCCACCTTTCCCTTCCCCTGCTGTGTGATTTTTCATGACTCGGTTACGGTGGCGTTTTATGAACGCTTCTCTCACCAGCCTCCCTGGAGTTCACCCTTCTTCCCCTACTTCTGCCAGACCTTGCTCAGAACACCAACAGCTCTACCTTGGGTTTGTTCACCCAGACTGATGACCCCGTGCCACTGCCTCCCTCTCAAGAGCAGGAAGACCAAACTATTTTTTTTTTTTTTACGTGATCCTTAAAACGTGTGAAGCTGTCATTCTCACGAAACCTCATCTGTAGATCCTGCCAGAGCTGTTTTTCCAAACACACCTATTTACTGTAACCAACCAATACCTCTGTAGCAAGCACTTGATCGAACTACTACCCCACAGGGCATTTCTAAGTGATAGGTTTTACTAAAGCACAGGAAGGAATTCTACTGAACTAAGGCAAACAAGGAGCTTGGGAAATGGGTAGGCTTGCTCACTCCTGGCATTTTCTGGTGCCTGTTTCTGGGTCACAATGTAAAGAATCCCGGTCTGAGCTACTGCTATAGTTTTATACCCAAATCTCTCTGGGATCTTGAGCATATCATTTAAGCTCACCCCAGCTCAATTTTTTTTAGTCTGTAAAATTAACACAGGAACACCTTTCCTAACCACCTACCCAATTATTAGGAGGATGATAAGAGGTAAGAGACACTCTGTAAGACATTCTGTAAGGTGTAAGTGCTACAGAAATGTTTGCTCTTACTATTACCAATAATAGTAGTGATACTTAAATGGAAGGGCTGAGCTTACTTGGAGAGAAACGCAAACACATCCCCGTGGCAGGCAGAACAATGGCCCCCGGAGACGTCCACGCCCTAGCCCTGGAACCCATGGACAGGGCACCTGACTTGGCAGAAGGGACTCTGCAGATGTGATCACAGTTACGGAAGTAAGGGGGGAGCGTATCCTGGGTTACTCACGTGGGCCCGACCTAATCCCAGGAGTCCTGAGAAGAGGAGAACCTGTCCCAGCTGTGGTCAGAGAGAGGGACAGGTTCACAGAAGAGTCACAGAGATGTGAGATCGCTGGCTTTGAAGCTGGAGGAAGAGGAGCACAAGGCAGGGAACCCAAACATGCTGGAAAAAGCAAGGACACGGATTTTCCCCCTGGAGCCTCCAGAAGGAATGTGGCCCTGCCATCCCATTTCGGAATTCTGACCTCCAGAAGCAGAAGACAATCCACTTGTATATCGGAAGCTACTGCGTTTTAGGGAATTTAGCACTGCAGCAAGAGGAAAGGGATACAGCCCCAGGCCTGCGTGTTGATGGAGTGGCATGGTCTTGATACCTGGGACTGTAGAATAGGCGAAGAGAAAGTCGGCTTCAACGGGGATCTTGTATCGGGGATTGGCATCTGTGTCATTGATAGGCCCCGAGTCAGCCTGGACCCCGTCATCGAGCTCGGTCCCCCGGCAAGCCTAAGTAACAAAGCAGAGATCACTCCATGGAGTCGGGAACAGGCACGCGTGTGCTTTTCACTGCTGCGTCCCGGTGCCGAGGGCTACGCGTGGCGGGTTCGGCAAGAATTTGATCAATAAATAAGTGAACAAAGCCTGTGTCGAATTAGTAAGCCAGAGCCAATGAAAATCTTGCAGTGTCTTAAAGAAGCCCTCACAATCCGTGGTCTGATGCAAATACAGATGCGAAGCATTTAGAGGTAGAAAACCAAAACCCCAGTCTGCAAACCCCGACCGAAACAGCACGTACGTTTGTAAAAGTGATCCGACCCAAGTCACTCTGTAATCCTTTCCCGTTTTCGACAGTATGGGGGTTACCTGAATGAAGAAGAGTTTGGGTTTCTCTAGAAGAGTTTTGCATCTGTCCCCCCTAAAATGGGCTGTCAAGTCCTTTATCGCTGTCACGCCGTCTGTTCCATAAATTAAATTTTCTTCTCCGTGGCTTAGTAAGATGCAGGCGAAACAAGCCGAATTTCTGTGGTCCTCTTCAGAGGCTGCAAGCAAGCCATTGGAAGATTGAAAGGTTAAGACGTAAGTCCTGCGGGACCTCAAAAGGGTCCTCCTTCCCAGCCTGGCAGCGACCGCTGTCGGGACAGGTATTCAGGGGCAGGAGCACCCCTCCAGAGAGAAGGAAGACCAGTGGAGAGAAGCGAGAGGCACGGAGAACTCTAGAATTCTCACTCAGTCTGAAACCAAGATGGCGCTGCCTCCTGAGGATGTGCGCCCCAAGTGTGCGAGGGGGTTCAGGCAGCTGCCGGGAGGCAGCACACTGGGGTGCTGAAGGGCATGGCCCTACTGCTTGTTAGGTCTGTGACACCAGGCAAGTTACTTAACCATTTTGTGCCTTGGTTTCCTTATCTGTAAAATCTGTTTTAAAAAGAAGGTACTTCCTGGGGTGCTTGAGTGGCTCAGTTGGTTGAGCGTCTGACTTTTGATTTCGGCTTAGGTCATGGTCTCACAGTTTGTGAGATCCAGCCTTGGGCTTTGGGTTGACAGGGTGAGCCTGCTTGGGATTCTCTCTCTCTCTCTCTCTGCCCCTCCCCTGCTCATGTGCACATTTGCTTGCTCACTCTCTTTCTCTCAAAAGAAATACAGAAGCTTCAAAAAAAAAAAAAAAAAAAAAACCACTTCTGAAATATATGGGGATTAGAGAAGAGTTTACATTTCAACTCCATTCTGGACAGAATGATACAGACTTGTTCCTTCTGTATGAATTAACTCTTTGAAATTGGAACTGTTCTGTAGATCCCACCTCTATCATTTGCTGTCCTATGAGCAGATTTCATCTTTTTAGGGAGAGATCTGAGTTTCCTGAAAGACACCCGCCTAGCCTGCAGACAGGGATGGAGTAGTCCAGACGAAGGAAAGGCTGCCCAGGCTGAAATCCCTCTGTCCTGCAAAGGCGGCCCCCCATCTCCGAGCCCACTGGCGTGCCGCCCCTCCTGGGAACAGGACAGAGAAGGAGGGAGGGGGTAGGCACGCACCTTGTTTCAGCAGATCTTGCATTTTGGCACAAGAGCAGTCATTGTAGACGACCACGTCAAAACCCAGGTTTCTGAAGCACTTGAAAAGAGCCTCGGCATCTTTGTCTGTTCCGTTTCGGACGCCCATGCCTGTGGGAATCAAGCCCACGATGAGCAATCCCGGGCTGAGAACTGCCTGCCAGCATCGCCCCGTCAGGTGTTAAGTGCAGCTTTGCTGGCTCTTGTGTAAATGCTCCCAAGGTCACAATTTAAAGGAGCAACTCGGGGCGCGTGGGTGGCTCAGTCTGTAGGGCGTCCGACTTCGGCTCAGGTCGCGAACTCGCAGTTCACAAGTTTGAGCCCCTGTGTCGGGCTCTGTGCTGACAGCTCGGAGCCTGGAGACTGTTTCAGATTCTATGTCTCCCTCTCTCTCTCTGTCCCTCCCCCCACTTGCACTCTTTCTCTCTTTCAGAAACAAACATTAATTTTTTTTTAATGTGGAATTGATATATGAAGCAAACTTAAAGGAGAGGGTTACTCAGCTCACCCACAGAAGGTGAGCCTCATCATGGCAACTCCAATTGGGGCCAAAAGGCTCCCCCTGACTCTTAGCCCTTTGGTCCCAGTCTTGCATCAGATAATGCACATGGTGGGACCTTCGATTCCAAAGCTTCTGGTGTCCTCACATCCCTTCCCCCCGGACACGTAAGTAGCATTGGATGGGGGGCTGTCTGCCATAGCAGATGGGCACTGCCTTTCTCCAATCAAAGTATGATACAAGTTGAAGACAATGGAACGGAACAGGAGAGGTTAGCCTACGCCCACAACACTTACCTGTCTTTTTGTCGAAGTTCTTGTTGTTTATTATGATGCATTTGCCCACCTTCTCGAAATTCATGTTATACTGATATGCAGGCACTCGGTCCTGGGTGGTCGTGACTGATCTTCCCGAGCCATTTTTCTTCTTCTTACTGGGGAAATATAAAGGCAGTCAGAGGCTATGGAAGACATTTGGATGGAAATGGCCTCTGGATTCTATTATTAGCAGGGAAGGGGTGCCCAAGAAAGCTGTGGTATCTGTGAAGAAAAGGCCCGAGGGGGGCAGATGGTTTTGTTTAATTGTCATATTTAAAACGAACGGGATCTCCTGCCTTGTTTCGCTACATGCCAGAGAGATGCAAATTAAAACCACAGTGTGATACCGGGACACTCTCACCAGGATGGCTTACCACATGCTGGTGACCGTGTTTCGTACCTGGCGTTGTCATACATTGCTGTGGGAACCTACTTTGGACTTGCGTGGTGGAAAACTCGTAGAATCTACCAAAACTGAACTTAAAACACATCCTATGACAGAGCAATTCCACTCCTGGGGCTATCGCCCAAAGTAGAGTAAATATGTTTGCAAAAAAGGAAAGATCTACACATGTGCACAGGGGTACTGTCTAGCAATAGCCCAAGCAGGAAATTATCCATATGTCCAATTACAGTGCAGTGAATAAACTGAATATGCATATAATGAAATCCTACAGAACAATGAGAATGAACCAACCGTGACAACAAGAAGCCACATAAACAAATCTCGCAAATATAATACTGGATGAAAGAACCCACATACAGAAAACGCTAATACCTAATAGTAGAAGCAGTTACGTGAAAAGGTGGACAAAAGGAGCAGCAACTTAAAAAAGCAAGTTGGGGCCCCTGGGTGGCTCAGTCGGTTAAATGTTGATTTTGGCTCAGGCTCACAGTTTGTGAGTTCAAGCCCCACGCTGGGCTCTGCACTGACAATACGGAGCCTGATTGGGATTCTGTCTCTCTCTCTCTCTCTTTCTCTCTCTCCCTCTCTCAAAAATAAATAAATAAACTTTAAAGAAGAAAAAAGAAAAAAAGAAAGTAGTCC